AGGATTTAAAATAGGACACAATTAGAGGAAAACAGGGGTAAGTCACAAACTCATTCATCATTCACTCAGCAGCTATGGGTTGAGTGCTTACCATGAGCCAGGCCCTGTTTTTATATTCAGGATACATTTGTGAACAATTCAGAAAAAAAAAATCCTACCTCTCTGAAACTAGTATTCTAGCAGAAGTGGAACAGGCAGCAAACAATGACTAAAATGCATAAGCACATAATACAGAATTAGTTGAAGGCTTGAATAGAACAAAAAGGATGAGCGAGAGGGAAGTCCTCCTGCCTTTGAGTTAAGACATTAGTTTTTTCTCAGCTTGTAGACTAGAACTACCCCATAGGCTCTCCGGGATCTCCACCCTGCTAGCTGCATTTTCAGGAACTTTTGGCCTACACAATTATATAAGCCACTTACACACACACACACACACTATTTGGTACTGTTTTGTAGAGAACCCTGACTAATCCATTGTGACCACTAATCATGGTATGTCAGCTTGAATGGATTAAAAAATGCTTAGCAGATTAGTAGAGGACAGTTCTGTGTGTGTGTGTGTGTGTGTGTGTGTGTGTGTGTGTGTGTGTGTGTGTGATTGACATTTAGGACAGCAAATTGAAGGAGAAAGACTCATCCCTGGTTTGAATGACCCAAATCAATAGGCTTGTAGACTGGACATGATAAAAGGGAAAAGAAGAAGGGAGTATTACCATTTGGTTTTTTAACACAAGGTCTCACTATGCAGTGCAGGCTAGTCTTGAAGTCACTATGCAGTTCAGGGTGGCCTCAAACTCAAGATCCTACTGCCTCAGCCTCCTGAGTGCTAGGACTACAGGCATGTGCCACCACGTCCTGCCCAGAAGTATTTCCATTTTGGAAGAGTTTCAGTCTTTCCCACGCCTTTCAATACAGTACGTCTTCAGCTTCCTTAGTCTTCCCACACAGACTCACATAGATTACTCTACAGTGAGCTTCCAGGCCTTCAGCCTCCAACTGTGCTGCATCTTTGATCCCTCTTGTTCTATATCTTCTATCTTCTTGGGTTGAAAGCTGTTGGATAGTCAGGTTCTCCGGCACAGAAACAGCCATCATTAACTCTCACTTTTGATCCCTCAGACAGCCATTGTGGACTTTCCTGCCTTTGACCTTGTAACCCTACCCAATAAATTTCCTTGCATGTTCTGTTCTTCTTCAGACCCCTGCCAAATACACACACAAACAAAACGTCAGTCATTTATGAGTTGAACACAAATGTATTCAAATGTGTAAGGTCTCAAAAATGTGACTACCGTACACCTTTCTCAAGAAGCTATCAAGTAAGTGCTCCCTCTCAATAAGAAAGTAAGCCAAGAGAAGAAAACCTATAACCATAGTGGAGTCCCTGGAATAGTGAAAGGAGATCTTGGCCTGACAGCTACCCTGTTATGGCTCTGTATCATAGACCCCGGCTGCCTATGGTGATCCGCTGGAGGATACAGTGCTGTAGACAGCCAAGCCCAGATCCTTTCCTGTGCTTTCCTTAGCTTGCTCATGCATGAATGAAATTTCTTCTCTCTCCTTATCTTGCTGCCGGGGTTTATTAAGGGCCTTCATTCCGTCCAACACAGCGTCCTGTTCCTAAGAGTAGGAAGGAGACCGAAGTCAGAACTTAGGAGACAACATCAAAAGATCCACTCCTCGAATGATATTTGGTACCAATATCTGGTAGTTGGCCACACTATACTTCTAACTGACTACTTAAAAGGGGATATTAAAACCATAAACTTTTATTTTCATGTGAGTCTTCCCTCGAATAGTAGCGATTTTCCCTTTCCTTAAAAAAACTAAGTATGCAACTGTCACTTCATTTTTCAAAATGAAAAAAATCCATTGTACATTGATATGTTTATAATTGGCAAAATTATGAAAGAAATTTTAAAATCCTCATTCAGTTACCTATCATTACATAACAGATGAACCAAAATGAGCAGTTTAAAGCAACATCCAATTGTCTTATAGTTCTGTAAATGAGAAGCCTGGATGAGCTAGGGTGGGTGCTGAGAAAATAGAGTATTTTTCAAGTTCTTTCAGGTCACTGTAAGATTTCAGTTTCTTGTGGTTGGTGGACTGTGGCCCCAGTATTCATGATGTCTTTTACAAAAGGTCATTCTTAGCTCGTTGTGACAGCTCTTTGGTTTTTGCTTGTAGTCTCTTCCAGCTCTAAACTCATAAATGACATGTAGAGTCTCTCCCATTCTTTGAATCTGACTTCATACTTGACAGGATCAGACCCACCTGGATAATCTTCTAATCTTACGGTCAACTGACTTGAGACTTTTAATTACAATGACAAAATCCCTTCAAAGCAGTATCTAGGTGGTGTTTGATCACGAGAGGATGGAAATCATGGGATAAAGTGAAGTCTTTATTCCTAATGTTAGGCAAGCTCCTCCTGTCTGGCCAGCATAAAATAATTAATATAAAAATTGGAATAGTATCAACTCTGGAAGAAAAGAAAGAAGGGAATATAATTTCAGAAAAAAAAATAAGGGAAGCTTCTAAGGTAATGGGATGAGGAGGCGAGCAAGATGAGAGCTGAGTAAGGCACTGGAACACTCTAATGCTTAAACTGAGAAGCATGGTGTGTGTTTTATTATTTTTTCTTAAATAGCATATAAACACTTTTTACATCATTCTGTATGTATAATATACTTCCCAGGAAAAAAGTCAATGAAAGACACAATAATTTACAACCATGGATGTGGATTCTAGGATTTAGAAACCAATACACAAGGTAGATGTGTTCTTCATTTGTGGAAGAGATAGAAGAAATTGCCCAAGTCTTTTATTTGTTCCTGATGCTAGACAATCTTCTTTTGTACACCAAGGATATCAGTGGACTGAGAGCTCCACACATATGACAACCACCATTCCTAATATTAGAATTAAATGAAAAGGATAAAACTAGAATGTGGTTAAGAAACCATAGCATCTCAGAAAATGATGGTCTAAGTTGAAGATGCTTCTGGCTGCTTCCTGGACGATTGCACCTCTTAGCTTTGGATCTGAGAATTACAGCTTCTGGATCTTAGTAGTAATCTAGATACATTATAACCAAAGAATAAATTCAGGATACTTAGGTGCTGCCGCCTGCCTTGCAAGTGCAAGGACCTGAGTTCGATCCCCAGTACAAAAAAAAAAAAAAAATCAGGAGACTTATATATACACACACACACATACAGATGAAGACGTCAGACAATGGGTATAATTTCTATGATCAGCTTTTTAAACCCATGGCCCCAGTGTATGTGAAGTTCTCATGGCAAAAGCCATGGCCTCATTCATTTATGACCTTCTAATACTCTTTAAAAGCCTGGGTTGTGGTAGAAGCTTATAAACCATTTGGTGGAGACTAAGTAACATGAGACTTTTGAAGTGACTTGCTTCTACCTGGTCCTGAGATCTTCAATTTAGAAATGCTGGAGGGCTGGATGTGGTGGCACACACCTGTAATCCCAGCACTCTGGAGGCTGAGGCAGGAGGATTGCTGCAAGTGTGAGACCAGCCTGGGCTACATAGTGAGTTCCAGGTCAGTCTCAACTACATAGTGAGACCCTGTCTCAAAAAACCAAAAAAAAAAAAAAAAAAAAAACAAAAAAAAAAAAAAAAAAAAAAAAAAAAAAAAAACCAAAAAAAAAAAGAAAAAAGAAAACCCCAAAACAAACAAACAAACAGAAATGGTGGAGGATATTGGGCCACAAGGATTTATCCTGCTTGATAGGTTTTACATTGTCCCAATTTTCTAACAGTTTAGCTGAATGTGTAGGAAGAAAGGGAAGGAGAGAAGAAAAGTATTTCTGGAGAAACTTCAGAATAATTGGATCTTGGGGACTTAATCCCAGAAGTATAGAAAGTTTAACTTTATCACTTTGGTTTTAAAACTTTAAATCACTTCAGGGAATGGAGAATCCCAACAGCAAAGTGGTATTTAAATGACTTTGTATGTGCAGTGAATGCTCCTTCATGGATTTTACTCAAATACAGAACAAAGGCAAGAAAACTGAACTTCCACTCATTTTAGGTACCTACTCCTTTGTCTGCTTTTAACTAGATTGACTATTTTTGGCTTGTGGGTTATTTCCAGACTTCAGATAAGTGATTCTCTTTATCACCGTATTTGTGGAAAGGTAAGAGAGCACTTTTTTAAGAATATAGAAACCCTTCTAGGCTCTCCCCATCCCTGGCTTCATACCTGGTGACTAAATGGCATTGGGGTGAAAAGCTCGCTAGGGTGAGAGGGAAGAACAGGCAGTGGTACAACAGAAAGTCTAAGAAGGAGAAATTCGTGAGATCACTTAGTTCTTGAGGTGGAATATCTCTAATAATAACCTATCCAAAGTGAATGTTAGAGAGAAGAGGCCCAAGGAGGAAAGGGGACACAATGATTCCCATGCACAGTCAAATATCAGTGATTGGCGAATATCAGTTCTTTAATAACTGTTCCAGAAGAGTTTGGCAAGTGAGTTAGTGAATGAGTGAATGAATAGTTAGACAGATCAAGTTCCTGTATATTGTGAGAAAAGAACAGAGGAGCATTATCTAACAGTGCTTACAGGGGGAGATAGTCAAGAGTTGAGGACAAAGAACACTAGTTTTTTTCGAGGCTCCAAAGGGGAGAAATTTTCAAAAACAAAGTTTAATATTTCTTACCAAAGTTGGATAAAATGAATCATCCACATAGGTATAAAGTGAAATAAATGTGTGATGTCTGTCCTGAGTATGATCAGGATAATTAAATGCAGTCACATATTTCAGATCTCTTTATGCAGTGGCTAGACACCATCAAATAAATGTTAATCAACTGCCCGGCATTTTATTAGAGCAACACAGAGAATTTGCTTCCAAAGATTGTCAGAGTTGTTCTCCAGTTGCTTGGCAAGAAGAGGTTTTCTCAATTTAGACATTAGAGAATCATGAAGCTGACCTTCTAAATTCCTGTAAGTAACATAGGAAACACAATGTTTGGGTCCAATGACACTTCCCCTCTATTGGGATTCATTCTCCTGGGCCTCACAGGACACCCAAAGCTAGAGAAAACATTCTTTGTGCTCATCCTGTCAATGTACCTGATGATCCTACTGGGGAATGGAGTCCTCATCCTGGTGACCACCCTCAACTCCCACCTGCACACGCCCATGTACTTCTTCCTGGCAAACCTCTCCTTCCTGGACATCTGCTACACCACCTCCTCAGTCCCCCTCATTCTTGACAGCTTCCTGACCCCCAGAAAAACCATCTCCTTCTCAGCCTGTGCTGTGCAGATGTTTCTGTCCTTTGCCATGGGAGCCACAGAGTGTGTGCTGCTGAGTGTGATGGCGTTTGATCGTTACGTGGCCATCTGCAATCCGCTTAGGTACCCTGTGGTCATGAGCAAGGCCGCTTATGTGCCCATGGCCATCAGCTCTTGGGCAGCTGGAAGTATCACTGCTACTGTACAGACATCCTTGGCAATGCAACTTCCCTTCTGTGAGGGCAACGTCATCAACCATTTCACCTGTGAGATCCTGGCTGTCCTGAAGTTGGCCTGTGCTGACATCTCCATCAATGTGATCAGCATGGGGGTGGCCAATGTGATCTTCCTCGGGGTTCCAGTCCTATTCATTTTTGTCTCCTATGTCTTCATACTCACCACCATCCTGAGGCTCTCCTCAGCTGAGGGCAGGAAAAAGGCCTTCTCCACCTGCTCTGCCCACCTCACGGTTGTGGTCGTCTTCTATGGGACCATCCTCTTCATGTATGGGAAGCCCAAGTCCAAGGACCCAAGGGGGGCAGACAAGCAGGACCTTGCAGACAAGCTCATCTCCCTCTTCTATGGGGTGGTGACCCCCATCCTGAACCCCATCATCTATAGCCTGAGGAACAAAGATGTGAAGGCTGCTGTGAGGAGCTTAGTAAGACAGAAATGGAGATTCCCAATGATTCTGTGCTCTGTGACTTCTACCTAAGGGTCCCAGAGAATGAAATCACCATGATGGCCAATTTCATCAAAGATGACATAGGTAAATCCTACTACACTGAGGGCTGTACGTAAATAGGGAGTTTTTCATAGAACTCCTCCCACCTCTTTCTGGGGGCAGTTCCACACAATGTATATAGTTATTTGTCTAGCCTCCTAGTTCTCACTCTTTGTCATAAATACTAACCAAACTGAGGTCACAGAAAAGCTATTCTTCCCATTTTTTTTTTTAGCAAATAAAAATCTCTAGTCTTCAGGGCTAGGGATTTAGCTCAGTAGTTCTTTAAGCATAAATTCTTTAAAAATTCTTTCTGAATTGTTTTCTCCCTGTGATTCAATAATTAGTCTCTTTCTCTCCTCGATCAAGTTCCTTACCAGAAAATTATTCATTCTCTAGATGAACATAGTGAAATGCTCAAGGTATAGCAAAATTGATGTGAAGGTCAAAGGCTCTAGGCTTTTCTCTTTGAAGATTTTGTTCATCCTTGGGTTTGTCCCTAGAAAGCAGTGGTCTCCCATGAGGCATCAGAGAATGTGGAAACTGAAATAATCAGAAAATCACTGATATCAACCCTAAATAGAACAGAGCTAACAATCAAACAAATTGGTCTTTACTAAAAAGGAGTTTCAGAAATTTTGTTTGTTTGCTTGTTTTGTGTTTTGGTTTTAATTCTTAGTAATATTTTCAGTAGAACTGAGAGGCCTTTGAGTCCAGGGAAGTCTATGAAAAAAGTCTAGAAGAAAATATGAGTGGAAGACAAAAACATTTTATACATCAAAAGAAAGTCAAAAGTAATCAAGGAAAGGGCCAGGGATTTAGTTCTGTGGTTCGGCTGCCTGCCTTGAAAGCACAAGGTCCTAATTCAATCACCAGTACCCCCCCCAAAAAAAAGAAAAAAAAAAGCAATAAATAGAAAAAATAGAGAACACTAAAAATAATTTTTAAACTCAAAACCAATTTAAAATGTTTGTCTCAATGCCAGAGTAAAAATACACACACACACACACACACACACACACACACACACACACACACACAGAGCCAGGGATTTAGCTCAGTCATACCACACCTGCCTTGCAATCACAAGGTCCTGAGCTTCATTCCTGGCACCAAAAAATAAAATAAAATAAAAACCAAGATTAAAATTATTTGAGAAAATAAAAAATATAAAAAATAGATCAGGGGGCTATATTCTGTGATAAATCCACCAGAGTCCTACAAAATGAGAACAGATCAGATAGGGGACAGATACTGGTCAAAAAGAAAAAAACGATTATCTCTGAAGTACTTTTTGTTCTTGATCAAAAGAGCTCATTAGCTTCTATGCAATAATTTCAGGAAAATATATATTTTACCTAGATCCAGGGATAAGTTGTTTTTGTTTGTTTGTTTTTGTCTCTTTGAGACAGGGTCTCACTATGTAGTTGAGACTGACCTGGAACTCACTATGTAGCTCAGGCTGGTCTCGAACTCACAGTGATCCTCCTGCCTCAGCATCCCAAGTGCTGGGATTACAGGTGTGCACCATCAAGCCCAGCTCAAGGACAGTTTTGTTTCCCATGTATATCAAAATATTCTTTGACTCTTTTTTTTTTTTTTTTTTTTTTTTTTGGTACTGGGGATCAAACTCCGGTCCCTGAATTTACAAAGGGGGCACCGGAACCACTGAGCTAAATCCCTATTGACTCTTTTTTGTTTTTTGTTTTGTTTTATTTTGTTTTGGTTTTTGTTTTGGTACCGGGGATTGAACTCAGGTTCTTGTGCTTGTGAGGCAGACCACCAAACCGCTGAGCTAAATCCCTGGCCCCCTTATTGACTCTTTGATAGAAGAAAAAACTTAATATTTATTGACTAGGTAAACTTAATAATTAAGTTAAAAATTATTTAACAAAGAATGATTCTGACTAACATTAGTCTTCTGTTATGCAGCCCTACATGTGATGTTCAGTAAACAATGTTTACAGAATACTGGAGGAAGTGAGTTTTGAGTTCAAAATTCTACACATAGCCAATTGCAGCACAGGTTCTCAATATTAAAGTGACAGTTGTCACATGAATGCTCACATTCCTCAGTCTCCTTCTGAAAAACATTGCTTAGGAAGTTCTCACAACAAACTGTAAGAATAATTTTTGAAAGAATGTGACAAACATGCTACACAAGAGGCATGCTACAAAGAGAACTAAGAATTACACACAATGAAAAGGACAATAAAGTCTAATTGATTGTTGATGCCGAATTTGCAAAGATTACAATAGGAATGAATTAGTAGAAAGCATATTGTTTTGAATGAAATTCCTCTAGTTCCTCTACTAACTTAGCTGGTAGCGACTGTACTCAGCAGCCACCAGAGGCCCAGACAGAAGGATACCTGCAGGGGTCCACCTACATGGGTCTCGCTGGGGAGACCTCCCTGTCAGGTTCTGACTATAGGTATGGTTTCCATGACACAATCAAAATGAGAAAGTTGAAGAATTTTTACTACAGGCCCTCAAGCTAGGCTTGGTGACCAGATGGGGGCAAAGAGCAGTCTCCATCCAGGTCTCCTGTAGCAACGACAACAGTGTGCACAGTGGACAGGTTGTAGAGGGTGGGGTGGTCCAATTTTGCAGTGATCCTACTGGGTGCTTTAAACAATTCTTACAGCAAAGGCAGTTGAGCAATTTGACACGAGAAGCCTTGGTCACCTTGTCTCCACCTATACGGCACTCAGCTATTGTTTCTCCATTTCTCCTGAGACACCTGTAAGCAGTGACAACAATGCAATGATCTAACTCGGGTTGCAATTCTGAATGACTTCTCCAAGCTGGGAGATGGAAAAAGAGAAGGAAATTTCCAACTCAACAAGAGCCTGTTTTGTGAAGGATGTGTTCGGACGGTGGATCTCACAAATCTAATTCATTTCACTGATACTGAAATATGGGTCTTAATATGCTGGTCTAAATTTTAATAGCAAGTACTGGCAGCCTAGTATTAGGATGAAGACTTTTCAAAGATTTAGAGGATCATGAAAAAATAAAGAGTGAAAGGAGTTATTTATTGCATCTGAGCAGATTAAAAATCAGTGTACATTAAATAATACACCTTATCTAGAATTTTTAAAGGAATTTCAACATTTTAAAAGTAATTTCAACATTTTCAACATTATAAACATTGGAAAATTTATTTCTGCATTCTATTCTGTTGATAGATTTAAAAAGAAAAATGATTATGTCAATAAATGTTGGGAAGTCATTTGATAAAATTCCCCATGTATTAAGACTTTCTTTTTTGCTGTATTGGGGATTGAACCCAGGGCCTTGTATCTGCTCTACCACTGAGCTACATTTCCAGCTCTTTTTACTTTTTACTTTGAGATAAAGTCTCACCAAGCTGGCCTCACACTTGGGATTCTCTTCCTCGGGCTCCTGTGTAGTTGGAGTTACAGGTGTGTTCCACAGTGGCTGGCAATTCACAATTTTTAAAATTAGTGTACCTGTAAGGAGGGAACTGTCCTTGACCTAAATGAATGTATTAGGACAATGACAAACAGCATACTTGATGGCAAAACACCAACAACTACTTAGGACATCTGCTCTCAATGTCTATACCATCAGTCTTCAGATCACCACATGATGCCAGATCAGAAAAAAAAAGGGAATAAAAATATTGAAAAAAAAGAATAAGGTATCATAGGTGATATATTGTTTATCTAGAATAAGTTAGAGTGCAGCTGTACTAGAAACTAACAAGAAATTATGATAAAGTAATTATGTACCATTCACAGTAGTCACAAAACTTTAAAAGGCTAATAGAAGAATGAATCAAAATGTGAGGCCTGTGTGAATGTATTTATAACAATCATACGTGAACAGAATAAATAAAACAGATATTTTCATTTTGGAGAGAGAAAAGCCATGAATTTAAACCTCAGGGCAGTCTTAGCAGACCAAAGAAGTAATACTCTTAAATTTAAATCTTTAGGTAGACTTGTTTCTTTGTGTATGTGGATAAACACTTTTATACAAGTTTCTACCATATATAATCAAAGTTTATTAAACTCCTAACAATTGGATCTGCTTGGGGATTTTTCTCTCTGAGCATCTAAGCAAGCCCAGATTGAATGAAAACTGTGTAAATATGACTTAAGGTGAAATAACTAACAGAATTCTCAGCTCTTAATCATAATGTAGAAGAAAAGTTTGCCTTGGGCCATGCATTAATTCTATGAGTTCAAGTCTTGTCTCCATCACTACCTTGTTCAGAAGCCTTAGAGAGGTCATTTCCCATATCTAGGCTTCAGTCACCTTTATGGGTATTGTGAAGGGGTTAGAAAAATATTGTCACATAGCTGGAACATTGGAGGCCCTCTCCCAATGGAAGTCCAGCTCTGGCCTTCTCTCTTCTATCAGCCCACTCAACACTCTCACGTCTCTCTCATTCATTGTTCTCTATTATGCAGCAAGAACTTGACTACATATAAGTTGCCTAAGAGTCTTCCCAAGAAAGCTTGACATGCACTTTGTACTTTGATGACCGAGGGGATATTTTATGGAAAAAGCTAACCAAACCTCCTCCATGTTGGTTTCAATCTCCTGGGTCCTCTGACCACCCAAAACTGAAGAAGACATTCTTTGTGTTCATCTGCTGATATACCTGGTGGTCTTGTGGGGCAATGGGGTGCTCATCCTAATGACCTTCCTTGATTCCACCTGCAGTGCCCATTTACTTCTTTGCAGTAACCTTTCCTTCTGGACACACCTGCTTTACAACCTCATGAGTGCTTCACACTCATCCTGGGTAGTGTCCTGCCGCCCTATCCCAATTAACCTTGAAAACCATCACTTTTTTAACCTGAGCATGATGTCATTTGATTGCTACCTGGCCATCTGTAACCCCTTCATATACCCTGTGATCATGACCAACACTGCTTATGTGTCCATGGCTGCTGACCCTGCACTGTTGGTACTATTTCTAGGTGCACACACCCGAGGTAATGCAGCTGCCCTTC